CGACCGTCGATAGCAATGAGAATAGAGAGGAAGCTTTTCTTTGCTAAAATTCATTAGTGGGAAAAATAAACTTGGAAATATTATTGTTTGGAACATGCAGAATGTGTTTCTGGATGTTTTGAGACAGTCTGAGCATTGATAGCACTTTCGATGCTTTGAACTGAGAGATAATCCATTACCCTTGCTTGCTTGCACGATTTAACCCAACCAGCATTCCTGTACTTCATCACTGATGCTTTTTGTGTGGAAGTCATTTGTGGTCGGTCTCTTCTACTGGGTGTTTTCTATAAGATCATTCTTCATGCTGGCTGAAAACTATCATTTTATCCTCTTTCTTTCTGTCTGTTCCGATGTATTGCTGTTCATTACAGTGAGTTAGCAGGTTTTCAGTAAGCAGACAGAGGGTGGCGCAGGTGGAATTGGGGAAGGGAGGAAAGAAGAGGGAAGCGGGTGCAGAGGAACTAGAGCTTTCATGGGGAGGTCTCTTCTGTTTTTGCTTACCATTGCTAACATTTATTTGCTTTTTAATGGGTCCAGCACTTACAAAACTGGTTTTTATGCCTTTTTCACCAAGTTTCATGTTTTTGTAAAATTTACCATAAATTTGCATAATTCCTGCTTGCTTCCAGCTAAATTTACTGCTTGTTGCCTTATTTCAACGGTTTTCTTCTGTGTTTTCACTGAACTATGCCGTTACTGCATTTTCTTACAAATAATTGAATAACAACAATGATTCATTTTAACGGCCATTGATTTATGTCGCAGAAAGTTTATTATAATTATTTTAGATTCGTTTTCGATGGCTGCATCAAGTGGACAACCGAAAATGCCTTCCGAACCATTGGGTGTTCGAGCAAGTGTTGTTGGAAGCCGTTTCGTCACACTTACATGGGATCCTCCTGTGCAAAGGCATGGTGCTGTGCTGGCCTATCATATTTTTTACAAGGAGCAAGATTCTTCAAGGTTTTTGTTGCTTTATTTAGCAAAACATTATTGTATGATAGAATATCAGTTCTTTTGGTTTATTTCGCGATCTGCAGACTGGCGAAGTTACGTTGATGTTTGAACTTCCTGTTTAAAACTGTGTTGTGGGATGCATTTATTTTGTAACATGATTCAGTTTACGCTATAATTTTACCCTTCCGACGCTGTGAAAACGAAATGTCTTGTAAATGCAGTATGGGTCTTGGTTTTTATGAACATCTGAAATGTACTCGCATGAATACTGTTGGAATGAACAATTGACAATCCTAAGCCAAACTGTTGTGTGGAGTTTTTTTTTTCAAAGTTTCGAGAAAAACGAAGCCTTCCCAATGTTTAAGATTTAATAGCGGCAAATGTTACGATTCTGTCAGGGAATCATGCTTTTGTGAAGTCTGTCGACTATCGGTTTAGTTTCGAACGTTTTCTTTGTTGAAGCTGCGGAAAGTTGCATTTGTAGATTGTTGGAAAAATGATTTATCTCAAACAGTTTTTTAAAAATTTACCAATACATGTAAAGCAAAAGTGAATTTAGGGAACGAATGCTAAATTCATCGACGACATCGCTGACAGTAACACCGCTTCAGCCAAACACCACATATTTCTTCCGTTTGGTTGCAGAAAATGAAGCCGGCATGGGCAAGTCCACTGCGCATGTCCTCATCACAACAACTCAGGAAAAGGTTGTTTTCTGAGGATTTTGCTTTTTAATTTCACAGCTGGAACAGTTAGATGACGGACACCGGTTTTGATTGCTCTTTGAATCCGAAGTTACCGCACACTGGCTGCCTTTGTTAATTTGCATATTTGTATTTAAGACGTGTTTGAATGATGTGAAATAAAATGCGAAGCAGAAAAAAAGTGCTTCAGGGAATATGCATGAAATGAATTCTAAAACTATTATTTTTTGACCCTGGAATTTTTTTAAATGATGATTAAAAATATGCGAATCGAAAAATGCGATCGTTCGATGCCATATCACTCTGTTCGCATTTACCTCGGAATCGAAATGCGCTAACTTTTGGTCTCATTAGAATTGTTATAGTTTTTTGAAATCTTTTACAGAGGCCTTAATTTATTACAGGCAGTTCCTGGTAAAGTTAAAAATTTGCATGCCAGTGCACTGAGTCCCGAGACAATTGAAGTATCCTGGGAACCGCCAAGCGGTGTTGGCCCTGCGCCAGTGCAGTACAAATTATTTTATATCAGGAAAGACCATGAGCCCGGTGAAAAGGAAACACAGATCGTGGTATGATTCGTGCCATTGCTTCATTTAATAGTGCAAGCGTGATTTTATCTGGGTGTTGTCTTCGCAGTTCCTCCTTGTTAATTGATACAACCAGCTCACCGTGGTCCAAACCGAATACTTACCCACATGCACTGTTCGGTTTGTGTACACAGTTAAGGGATGAAACACACAGACTGCGTTATAAAATGTCTTCATACACATGACATTCAAGTGAAATCCTTCTATTCTTCTATTCGAAAAAGCTGATTGTAATTCAATTTTTTTTTATAAAATTTAGTTATCATATCATCATTTTTTGTTCAGCGGGTAATTTGTAAGTCCTCTTCTGGTGCAGCATTAGGTTGAAAAAGAAGAATTGATGTGAAGTTAAGGTTTGATATTTTGTTAAGTATTGTTTGGTTAGTACCTGTTTTTTTGTTGAAGATGAAGAAAACATCATACACTCTGCATGGCATGGATAAATATGTTGAATACAGCATCAGAGTTGAAGCGGAAGGTGTTAACGGTGCTGGTCTGAGCTCCGAACCAGTAACTGTGAGGACGTTGTCTGATTTGCCTTCTGAAGCTCCAAGTGACGTGCGGTAAGTTTGTTTGGAATGCTCATAAGCGGAGCTAGGTGCGAGTTATTTGCTTCCCCTTCCCCCCTCCACTCCCCTCCTCGGCGGCACAGACGCTATTGCTGTAAAAGCCCCGGTCTAAAGCAAAAACTAAAGCCTAAAGCAACTTTAAAGTAACTCTAAGTAGCAGCACTGTTCCATAGT